GGAGACAAAGCGTCAAGTTAGGCAGAGTAAGCTGAGCTAACCCCAGGGATTGAAGGCGAAAAACATCTCATTAAAAAAAGAAAAATATATATTAATAACTTCGCTTTTAGCCAATTAATATCGTACATACGCGCGCCAAGTATTTTTTTCTGTTCTTATGCTCATTCCATGCCGTGTGTCTTCCACGCGACTCTGAGAGGCGGGCGAGGGCTGGGCGAGAAGCCTGGCGTTAACATGAAAGTTAGGACTACGTCCATAAGTGGACTCCTTCACAATGCAGTCGAATAAGCATATCACGTAAGACAACTTAAAAGTTTGTAAGCTTCAAACTTCTATGATTATGCTTAAGTAAGGCATAAGAAATGAACTAATCACAGAACGGTATCTCAAAATCGAGAATCGAAATTGGAGCGAAGTCGATAAAAGAACTAACGCCATATGGGACTACCATGGACACAGTCGGTACCTCGAAATCGATTATCACATACAACCAATAGTAAACCAGAATGTCTCACAGCCAATAGAAACTCTTATTTTGCTTACGTTTGTTAGACATTGTGAATACTTCAGTCTATCACTTATGTTAATGTTTATGTCTATGCGTTACGCGTATGCTTACGTTTGCATTGTGAATGGGCCTTAAGCGTTAGGATGGCAAAATAAGCTTTCAAAAATGGTGCAGTTGGTACGATTTTCATTGAAACCTCTGAATTATCAAAAATTGCAAAAGTTAAGAATTTATCTCTGCCAATTACAATAATCAAGATATTACATTTTTTCGTAATAAAATCGATTTTTGAACTCAATTTTTTAGAAAACCTTTTGTTCTAATAGATCAAAATTCTCATAATAATATGACATTATTCCAACGCGATAGAAATTTACTGAAAACTATGTAGCCTATGGACTGGTGAGATACGTGTATGGTTTCATTATACTTATTATCTCGAGGAAAAAATCCAATAACAATTAGTTTCGACTGACTGAATATTTCGGGTTTCTGGGCGCGTTAACGGCTATGGCCATTAGTCCCATTCACATTATTAGCGCACGTTTCATCACAGGACTTTTTATTGATTGATTAGTGATTCCGGGCATGTCAACTGCTACGATCATTAGTCCCGTATGTGTAGTACCTCAGGAGAGGCACAAAGGCAAGCTCACACCGATCCGGGACGTGAGCTGCCAGGTGAGGGATGGCGGTCGTTAAGACAGGAAGCGGAGTTTCACAGAAATTGAGTTTATTTACATTGCACATACTATTTATTGTAAAGTCTTACACAATATTTGAAATGAAGGGATAAAAATTGTATTTCATATTCATTAATTCATATTTAATATGAATGATAAAAACGAAATAAGGAAATTATAATAAAATGATTAACAATTTTCTAACGGTGCAGTTTACATTTGTTATAATTATTCAATTAAATTGGTCACAGTTCAAGTTAAATTTCATGGTTCTGGGTACGCACTACACTTATATTGTCACAGCATTGGCACGGCACCGCAGAATAAATTGTACCTTGTCCGATACGACGCGCGTGGATCCCAGCAGTGCTCATCCGAGACGAAGCTGGATTTCAGACGTCACACAAGTTCGCCGAATTCGGTTCGCGAAAGTAGTCCCGCAGCTAGGACAATGACCTGGGCCAGCCAGTCGCTGTCGACGGGACGCTGGCAGCAGTAGTATTGTGGCGTCATACGGGTGTAATCGAACACAGACGAGAGAGGTTTGTAAAACAGTAGATTTATTAACAATGTAGACCGTAGTCTAAATTTAACAACTACCCTGCTCACAATAAACTAAATAAATAGACCCACTACAAGGAGAGAACGGCTACCACTCCGCAGCATACCACCGATGTTCCCTGTATGAAGCCGCTCTACTTTGAGACCATCTACGCGTCTCGCAAGTCACGACAATGAATTGCCGGCCCCTCGCCCTAGTGCACCTACACGCACAGACACGCGCTTCACCTGTCGCCGACGCCGCTATAACAAGAAGACTGGGGCATTGTTCTCCTGGCCTTATATAGGCCCTTTTGGCGCTACCCGCCGTCTCCATTGCCTCCTCTTCAAAGCCGTTCTGGGCCCGCTGTGTCCAAGGTAAGTCCCAGTGCGTCATCACTCCGCCCTTTGTTTAACATCCGGCGATGCTCACCGATTTCCACGTGGTTGTCTGTTTTGAGCGTGGCACGACGCTACAGTAAGCTTGCGGCGCACAAGGTCCGTTTCCGCAGGTGTCCGAACTGCCCGTGCCGCAATGCAGTTTACGCCGATGGCAGATTCACCCCGATTACCGTAGGCAATAACACGTTCGGTGGCTGCTTATTGAACAAAAAGACAGCGCACTTGACTCAACCACAGACAACCTTTAAACACACAGTAGTTATGACGATCTTGACGAAGAGAAACTGCGCGCGAGGCGAGTTGAATGGCCATAAAGGCCCATTCACAATTCAAACGTAAACATAAGCATAGCGCATAGACATAAGCATTAACATAAGTGATAGACTGAAATATTCACAATGTCTAACATAAACGTAAGCATAAGAAGAGTTTCTATTGGCTGTGAGACATTATAGTTTACTATTGGTTGGATGTGAGAATCGATTTCGAGTTATCGACAGTGTCCATGGCCCATATTGCGATAGTTCTTTTATCGACTTCGCTCCAATTTCGATTCTCGATTTTGAGCTACCGTTCTGTGATTGGTTCATTTCTTATGTCTTACTTAAGCTTAAGCATAGAAGCTTGAAGCTTGCAAGCTTTTAAGTTAACGTCACGTGTTATGCTCATGTGACCGCATTGTGAATTAGTTCGCTTGTGGACGTAGTCCTAACTTTTATGTTAACATCATGCTTATATTTATGTTTGCATTGTGAACGAGCCTTAGGCATGAGATGAAGTATAACTCGTGCAACTTTTCTTGAACGATTACCTTGCCTTCCCTTCTCTGGCACCAAAAACAGTTGAAGGCATAAACTCGCAGCGTGCAGTATGACAACATTCCAAACAAATCTTCACTGGCGCGAAATAGAAACTATTTTTGTTGAAGAGAACTTTTTTCCGTGATTTTCTCCACAAAAATGTAAAGAAATGACCGAGGCATGTGAATATCCATCACAGGAGATATCTCGAACTCCTGAAAAAGTTAGAACGCAAATTATTGAGAAAGTTACGACGGCATGTCTGATTCTCCAGAGATTGGCATTTCTTCATAACATCTAGTGGCATATTTCTTAACTAATACCCCCACTTCACCCGCATGTCTTCAATCCATCGTTCAAGAAAAGTTGCGCGAGTAATATCAAGAAGAAAGAGCTGGTCCAGTTGCTGTGTACGCAGATACCTTTGAAGTTGGCGCGCGCGCACTATTCGTCATGCGCTCTATTTTCTGCAACTTCAGAACTTTTTTTCGCCCCGGAAGCTGCAAGCTCTGAGGATGATCGCTACGTGATCGAAATGATCTTTAGCAACATATATTTCTTGATACCAGAAAACATTTATTATACCGTATTTAGTATAACATAACCATTACTAAGGGCGAGAAAGTATGTGCTGTTGTAGTACCACTAGTTTTCTGCAACGTCTAATGCGCGATGGCATCTATTTTTTGCGAGCGGATATAAATAGGGAATGTCTTGCATTAGAAAAAAAAAGGACATATTTCGACCTCAAGCTGATGAAAGGTCCCTTGTACTAGCTGTTCGACGCTTTTTAGTCGAGAAATAAGGATGATCAGTTCGATGGATGATCATAAAGATGACTCGTTTTATGAATACAGACCTCAGGGTATTGGACTAAATCAACAGTTGTGCCTTTCTCTTTCTTCTTCTCTTCTTGTTCTATCTTGTTTTTCTCCTTCTTTCTGCTGTTTTTTCTAGTTTTCTTTCTCTCCTTTTGCTTCATTTTCTTTTTCTTTCTTTTTCTTTCTTTTTCTTCTCATTATTTTGTCATTTCTTTTTTTCCTTTCTTCTGGTTTCTTATTTGCCTCCCTTTTCTACTCTTATTCCTCCCCCTCCTTCTCCTTCTACTACTTCTTCTTCTGCTCCTCCTCATGTTTCCTTTTCTTTTTCTCTTCGGTGTACCTACTAATATTAATTTGGGACCACAATTGCTGGAGTTACTACCACACGGAGCATGTAATGCACGTCAAGTGAGGTACATCAGCAGATAAGCAATAATTCAAAGTGGTCAGTTTCAGTATACCTGGGACAACAACACATTACACTTTGGAACAAAACCACTGGCGGATCCAGGGGGGATGGGGACATGGTCCCCCAATAAAAGAAAGGCCAAGAGTTTTCGTTTTCCTTCCAATATTTAGCAAAATTAATTTAAATATTTACTTATGTTCTAATTATGTAGTTATTTAAACAATAATATTGTATAGTATCATATCTACAGTATATAAATAATATAATAACAAATACGTTTATTATTTAACAAAAATCTATGATGGCCCCCTTCAAAATTATCCTCTGGATCCGCGCCTGAACAAAGCGCTCTGTATTATTAGCTTCAGCATCCTTCTGCAGACGCGGAATTCCAGTACTATATCTCCGTCACAGCTCACTTCGCATTTTTCTATTATAATCAATTACTTGTAACTTCTATATACTGTTTAGTTTTATTAACATTGCTCTTTTCACCACCCGATTCATCAGTAAAACTACTGCACTTTTACTCTACCTTTTCACTTTACTACTACTTTTTTCTCGTCTAATTTCAATAATTTACTATTTAATTTCTATTATTTTAAAAATCACGATGTAACTTTACGAAATAATAAAGCATGAGACGAACCAAAAAGAGCAATGGAATGGAATATAATTGCTATGTAAAATCGCCAAGAGCTTAGAAACTGTTAATATTGCTTTAAAAACAACGAAGTATTCACTTACGTTTAATACGCAAGTATATGTACACCATGAAATGACATTCGTATTGCCGCACATGTTTTATATAGAATTTCTGTGACTAAGATATTCATATATTATTCTGAATCGGTTATTCTGTGCGCCGCAGTGGATGTTGATCAGCTGTGGTACATTGGTCCTTGGTGCTTGCAGAGGTTAAACAACCTCCTTGCAATATTTTGGAATTAAACAGTGACATACTTTCTAATCTATTGGCATAGTTAATCGGGAAGCAATGCCGGTGGAACCAAGGAATGTGTCTCCATTATTACAGATTCTTCGAAATTTTTTGCTGGGAAGAAAAGTAACAAATGCATTACGCTTTGCTGACTTCATTGCACCTCGAACACAGCCTCCTCCGAATTTACCAGACGGCCCTTCCCATAAATTAGCTGTTAACTACTACTACAGTAGAGATGGTAGACGTGAAGTAAAACCACCATTAATCCTCGCCGATTCAACGAAAAAGATTGAAGCACCTGCTGCTAAAGATGACGCCTCAACTGGTCGGAGGGGTGTACCCAGGCCAGGCAATGTGTGGCGTTGGGACTGAAGGAACTAAATTGTCAACAGATGATAGTTGTATATACTGTTTGAATGTAATAATTTACTATTAGTAGGTACTGTAATAAATGGTATTGTAAAAGCTGTGCGATTTATTTTGTGTGCCTAAAACACTGCAATAAACCTTCTGTGTAGTTGAAATTGTTAAAATTTGTCAACACATCAAAGCACAAGAAGCACTGTATTAGTGCACAAGCTATTACAATGAGAAGAATTAAAATTAAAAGATTTGATTGTTCGATTTTTGCTGCCAGTTGGATTATTGCAGCCTCCTTTTAACCGTGAAAGCATTAGAATTATTTAAGCAATGCATAAGTGGAGATATTTTTAAGAATTTGTTATTTCAAATAATGGAAATATAAAACTTGAAATTCAGCTTTTCATATTAAAGAATTATGAAGTGGCATATGTTGAAAAATCAGGTGAGTTGAATTATATTTCAAGTTTGATTTCCTTAATATTCTGTAATGTTTCTACCTTTTTTTTCATTCTAATAGCAACGCCAAATATAGGGCATTTTCTGAAGACCTTTTTAAAATCTATAATTTTAAAATGGACATATCAGACTGTGATTCCAAAGTAACGGTCTTTTTTGGAATCTCATACAATAGATTATATGATATAAAAACCCATATAATTGTTTTCAAAATATTTATTAAATATATATTGGTTCAGATTAATCTGTGGAACAGCTGAGGGGTTTTAATAAATTGCATAGCACTAGGCTGGGGGGAAGGGTGTTTAAGGCTATTATATTGCACTACAAGTACATAGAGGCTTTAATTCAGTCTTACACTAAATCATTTACATATTCAATTAAAACTATAAATGAATGAAAAAGCTATGATGTATAAAAGTTGATAATTATTGAAAATGTATTTTCCTTTATGGTTTATTGGTTGAATCTTACATCACAAAGAAAATATTTGAAACTGATCTATAATATATTCTAGGATATAATTAAATCGATGCAGTAGATTCTTGCCCATGTATCTCTGACAACACTTGTACTAGTCAGAAATTTTCTTGCCAATGCTTCTTTCTTTTCTTCTTGTGAAAATTGTCCCCCAGTCTTTTCGCTACGCACAGTCAGCATTACCAATTAATTCTGCCATTAATGAAGATTAATTTTAATATATAACACAATAAAATTAATACACATTATTTTCATTGTTATATAACTTATTTTTCTGTTTGGTAAATGTTGGAGAGTGCACAAGTGTTATGTAATTAAGAGGAGGGGTTTCAAGTGTGTATTACATGGAGAAGAGTGGGTATTCCGAATGTTCCAAATTTAAGTTACATATTTTATAGACACCACCTTAGATGAGTCAGTTAGCAATGAAACAAAACTCCCACATGATAACAACAAAATAACACAGCATTACAAGGTTGTTTCTAAGGTAAATAGCGCAGAGCAGGTTTGAAATACATCACTATCTTCATATGTCAAGAATGCCAGTGCTTTGCATCGGCTGGTGTACACAATTATATATTTACTTTAATGTATTAATTATCTTTTTGTTTTGAAAATGGTGAGTCATCGCATGTTTATTTTTATATCAAGTGCTACTGTTGTTTTAATTATTATCATTGTATTTTTGTTATTTTAACATCAGTAATTTGTCATTTATGACAGTCTTATGTTATTATAAAAAAGTTCATTAAACAAAATTTCTGTTATGTTGATTGTAGCCTCAAGATGTAGGAAAAGCCATGATTCTTGAAAGGTCGCCAAACTAGTTTTGTTTAATGAATAATAACATTTTAAGTTATGGAAAATTAGTATTGTGATACCAATATTTAAGAAAGATAATGCTGCTTAAGTTGAAAACTACAGACCAATAACTCTTACATCATGTTTTGCTAAATTATTTTAGAAAGTAATAGCTATCAGAATGTACAAATTTTTGGAAAAAAAACAACCTGTTAAGTAAGGTACAACACAGGAAGGATAAATCCACTATTATTGCAGTTGCTGATTTTATTCATCTTCTCTTCTTGCCATTTTTTTAACCGCTACTTCGATCTTCCGGCACCGAATTGTCGTCTCCAATCTTCCCTGTTCTTCCAAGAATCAGGAGGTAATTTCCACTTCTTGATTATCTTCCTTATCTGGTCTGCCTCGGTTTCTCCTTTCACTTGGTTGCCATTCTAGGGATCTGGGTAGTCTTCTCTCGTCCATTCGCTGTACATGTCCAAACTAAGTGAGTTGTTTCTTTTCAATTTACTCTATAATATCATGTTGCAGGTTCATTATTTCCTTAACCTGTTCATTCCTAATTCTTTCCCTTCTAGATATTGCTGTAGCTCTTCTGAGGAAATCCATTTCCTAAGCTCTCAATTTTCTTGTCTGTTGTTGTGAGAGCTGCCATATTTCTGCTCCATACAATATAACACTTTCAATTATACATTTATATATTCTAATTTTCGTTTTATTGCTTATATTTAGATCCCAGACAACTGCATTCAGGGCTCCTAAATTTTTTCTTCCTTTAATGAGTCGGGTTTCACATTCCTTTCCATAAGACCCTGTTTTCCAATTGTTGTACCTCATATGCCTTTGCTCTATCAAGGAAGACATGTGAAGTTGTCTCCCTATTTGCCATATCTTTTGCATCACCTGGGACAGACAAAACAGGTTATCTATCTAAGCAAGATCGACCTGCCCTAAAACCACTTTTTTGTTCTTCTTCTTCGTACTCCTTGTATCCATCTTCTATTAATTCTCTTAATATTCTTCCATATACCTTACTGAACATGTTGGTCACTGCTATCCCTCTATAATTTTCACATATGTCTTTTCTTCCTTATATATTGGTGTTGTATAATCCATTTTCCAGTCTCCTGGTATATCACCTTTATTTATACACATATACATTAGCTTCGTCATCATTCACACTAGCTTTGGTGTTCCATTCTTTATCAGTTCCCTTGGGATTTCTCCCTGACCTGGAGCTGTACTGACTTTCATTTCTTTGATACATCTCTTAACTCTCTCTTCGGTTACAGTTATTTCCCTTGCCAGAGATATATTTTCCCTTTCTGTAGTTCCAAGAAAGTCTGATCTTCCTTCACTTAATAATTGTATAAAGTACTCTTCCCTGTACAGATAAACTTTGTGTGCAGATTTTTTTCCATTTGGGATGATTTTACCTCTTTTATGAACTTCCAAATCTCACTTGTTTTTGTTCCACCTATGTACATTTATACTTCTTGACATTTACGCTCCCATGATTGTTGTTTATCTTTTCTTATGATGTTTCTAACTCTATTTCGTTGGATTTTATATTCCTATTTTCTTCTTTCTTGGTACTCAACCAATTTTCATAGTCTCTTCTTCTCTATTTCCCGCTCCAGGTCTTGAGTAATCCAATAGCTCTTCCCTATCCTTTTCTTATGTTTTAAGATTTCATTCATGAAATAATAAATAATGTAGAAAAAAAAACTTTTTTACAGCAGATATATTTATGGACTTATCGAAGGCTTTTGACAGTGCGTCTCATAAACTACTTCTACTACTGAATGATGTTTCGTCATTGAAAAATAAACTGATCTCATACGCAGATGACACAACATTAATTAGTAGTAATAAAGACATAACAGCATTAAAATAAAATATGACAGGTGCAATGCATCAAATTTCTAGATATCTAAGTTACAACAAACTAAATTTAAACATAAACTAAACATATCTGGTAAAATTTAGTCACCACAAGCAAAACCAAAATTACAACATAAATATTGTTGTAAACAACCAAAGGGTACACCAAGTGAAAAGCCACAAATTTCATGGAATCCACATTGACCAAAATCTAACATATAATAAACACATTGATGTCATAAGCAAAAAAATTAATTCTAACATTTTCTTTCTACGAAATCTCACAGTGAAAATGCTCATTACCACATACTATCATTGTACACCCTCGCATTCATTACGAGGAGTAACCACTATGGGGAACATGGGCAGGGTTATGATAACACAGAAACAAGCTCTTAGATGCATATTTCCACTGCATCTTAACTAAGATTGTAAAAAAGTTAATAAAAAATACAAAATAATGGTTTATGTTGCAATTGATGCATATAGGGTAATTATGCTCATGGAAAACAATAACTGTCACATTATTCAAAACAAATATGTATATCAATACTATACAAGAGGAAAGGAAAACTATCAGAGTGAACACAGAATGTACTCTGCAAAATTCTCCTCAAAGAAGGATCCTTATTGGAATGCTGCAATACTCTACAATAAACCACCTAACCATAGTAAGAAGTTAAGCAAAAATAAATTCAAAAAACACTAAAAAAGTTGCTTAATTAAAATTTCCCCATATAAATTAAAGGAATTAACTTAGGTAGAGAGAGCAATGTTACAATATTTATATATTCTCTACTTTAGGATAAGTTATTTTTTATACTTAGGATAAGCAATTAAGG